CAATTGGAAATTTATATTGCTTTTCTTTTCTATACAAAAATCTTTTGCGACGAAACAATTTTAATTCTTAAAATTGTGAGGGTATTAAAAAACAGGGATGTTTTTGACAATAACGTCGTTGTTTATTACACAATAACCCATTTATTATTTTTCTAATACAATATTTTTTTGTAAGAAAACTCATAACTTGATTGGGTTAGAATTGCATGGAATGAAGAGATTTGCATCATTAAGATGCATTAGATGACACGCGGAATTCTCAGCAACAACAAGTTTCCACTCAGCAGAGTTTCATAGGGTTGTATACTTCGTAAATTCTTTGGTTATATAATGCATCTTATTTGCTAATCTTAATGGACCATCGGTAAATCGGAAGATGGTGCATACTTTTATGGATTACACGATGATAGTTCTGTAGTCCTACTAAGAAGCTGTGATAGACTTTAGATTTATGTTTGAATATGTTGCTAGATTAAAAAAGAAGAGGGAATAACAATCAGTAATCTAAGTCTATGTATTAAAATACATTATTAGGACCATTGTAAAATAGTTAGTGTCGAAAAAATATGATTAATAAATTTAATAAAAATGATTAAACATATCGGCGGTGGGTGAATGGATTACTTCATCAGACCCTTGGCTTTAAATAAGTCTCTCATCAAGCCTTTTAAGTACCCAATTTCTCGCTGCAAGTCTTTTACTTGATTCTTTAATTTGTCGTTATGATCCGCGAGTTCACGTTCCTCTCCTAATATTTCTTTGATCTCTTGTTTTTTCTTTTGCCTATAACGTGTAGCCGCATTTTTATTTTGTTCCTTTTTTCGGACTTTTTTGTCTTCCACGGATGGACGGGAATATGGTTTTTGACGGCTTCTGGCTGAGGAGCTAGTTGATTGTTTTGTACATTTTCTCTCAGTTTCAAAAATCCAATCTGGATCGTCTACAGAATCTTCTGACGATGTGTAACTACCACCTGAACTGGTGCATGGACTAGATGGCGGAATATCCTCGGTTTGCAACCGCACGTATTCATCCACCACAGCTAAGTCGTGTGCAACGTCTGTGTTTAATGGATCTAACATTATGTTTTTTGGATTCCACTGTACAGGTACTTCATTAGTGTACGTTTTTTCTTCGGGTACCACCACATCGTACATGGACTGATGATTGGAGTATAGTGGTTGTACAGGTTGCAAGGTAATAAGTAATTGGGTGTCCACGCTTAATGGTTTATGAAGTGGTGGCGGTGGTGATTGAGGTGGTGTAAGCGTGGAACTCGACGTAGGGACTATTTGATGGCAAGCTTCCACATCTCCCAGAACAGTTTCAAATTCTTGCAGTAGTGTTTGTGTATCATCTTGCTGAGGGATCTTTGTAACTTCGTTGTATGTGGTTGGTTTAAGATGTCCATTTTCAGGACTTGGTAATTCCTCGAAAATGGGTAATTCTATCTTTTCCTCCAACCAGTCGGAAAAAGGTTCTGTAAAAAAGATTTTTTAATGTAAACAAAAATTAGTCATTTAGTCCTAAATGATAAAAATGTATAGAAAATAATCTGTTTCTCACATCAGTCATTAATCAATTGTTCGCAGATTTTATATCAGACAAACAAAACATTGATACCACATTATCAGATTCTGGTGATCAGACATATTTGTAGTAGACTTATAGATTTAATTATTTGATTGAAAATAAAAAAATAATATTTTCTATATGTTGTATAATTTTTCAGAATATAAGTTAACAGTACTTTTACTTGTCTTGCATGAACAATATGTAGGTGTGGTACTTTAATGTATATATAATTTCATGGACATTACCAGCTCAACTAGAAAAACAAGTTCTTGATTTGCAATTTCTTTGACTACTAACACTTGCTATAATCAATACTTGCGTACAACATTATTTAGAGCACAGTTTGCTACTGGAGCATAAAAATGCAGTCTGTACCAAAAAATTTCATTTTTTAACATTTCAAAGAAAGATAACACATTCGTATTTATTTGTTGATTATATTTGGGAAAACAAATTGTTTTATAAAAATGTATTCACAAAGTGTTCAAATCGTTGATATTATATAATTTTGAAATTTCAGTTACTACATTATAATTTTTAATTTTTTAAAACTTTTTGCATGTATTGTAACATACTTGACTACATTAAACATTTAATGTTTGATAAACTACCCCTAACCTATTTCTTCGTGAAACTTTGATTAGGCTTCACTTCAAATATAGAAGTTATCTGCATTTAAATGCCGAGGGCAAGGGGTTAGATAAGAATCTTTTTAAATATAAAGATTTATACAAGTATATAGTACAACTATATCTTTAAGTGTGATTGACGAATTACCATTAATACACTCAATAAGTAATAGAGAAAGTAAACGTTCAATTTTATTTCATAATATATCATTAACATGATTTGTTTTATATTCAACATATACTTCGCCGTATACTTTTTTGTTCGTCACATATACGTGTAAATTCGACATCGCGCGAATTATATTCAAGCATATAATTCGACAGTAATGTATTTAAAGACGCTGCGATCCAATTCTACCGTATGATAATGTGAACAATGTGGTAACAGTGTTCTGATATGCGTAATAAAGATATTTTTCAATCAAAGTGAATGCTAAAAAGAGAGGGGAAATCTTGTTAGCGAAAGGAAACGTACCGCTGTAGCATATAGCAGCCATTATCACGTGTAGCGTGTTTTCGTGAACCTTTTTATTCAAAGAGCAATATATTTGTATATAATAATAAGGAAAAAAATATATATTTGTATATATATTTAAGTAAAAAATAATGTTCTTGAAGCACGGTACGGTGTTTCTTTTTAACGGGAAGCAGCCAAAAGTCCGCCAAGTATAGACGCGAGTCGTTATAGCTCAACGTCTTTTTACCAATTTTTGGGAATTAATAATGATCTCTCGGTTCCACGTGTAGCGATATGCGAACTGCATGCTATCATACAACATTAGTACACTCGGGCATCGAGACAATTCGTCGTTTTCTCGCAACAGTTTTAAAAATGCCAGTATTCTTTTATTCCTTTCCAAGTGGTTCTCTTTTTTTCTCTTGTCGGATTGAATTTTAACTAGACATCCATAAATGTTACGCACTTCACCAATCACTTTTCATCGACCGATAGATAGACCACGATCTATCGAAGAATATTTCCGTTCACAATTGTCTCCACGGCCCCGGAACGGTTTCAAGTTAAATTCCAAAGCGATCGTGTCGCAGCTTTCGAATCCCACTATCGGTACAGATCAACAGAACACGTGTAAATACGTTAACGTATGTTGAGAATGAAAATTACGCTACGAATGTAGATCGATAGATCGCTGTGGCGGGGGGTTTCGTATTTACAATTCCCTGTACGGTCGTCGAGCGTGGCGAAGCATACGGTTCACCATAGATCAACTTGAATATTTGATTGTTAAGCGTCGAAATCACTGACACGCACAGTAGTTGCGAATGTAACAGACTTCATCGGTCACGAAATCACGACACCGACACTGACGCGACACGATTTGTCGAACGGAGATACTTGCACATTTGAAACAACAACAATGCGCAATGCGCCTAGAAAACGATCGTGTATCGTCAGAAAGTCGACTCATAACGAAGACTAATCGACGGAATCGTACGATCAGTTTGCAATACTGCCGAGAGACCACTCCTGCTTATCTTTGGACTTTCCCCTCTGCCGCCCCTACTCCAACGCAAACGCAACTAAACACGCGTCATTCCCCTATCGGCCTTCAACCAAAGCAGTTTGTATAGAGGTTAACCAGTTTGTCCCACTCTCTTTTTCAGAAAAAAAAAGAAAGAAAAATGAGATACACGCTGGAGGAAGCGGGAAGAATGAAAGCGATACCAAGTATCGAGAATGCTGTCCGATAAAATGCGTTGAACATTAGCCTCTGTCCTTTTTGTATATAGAGCTTCGAAAACCAGGGGACGCTGACTTAATCGATGCATGCGTAAGAACGAGCTGCAAGTATTCGCCTACTTTTACGCAGTTTGATATTTAAAGATATATCGACACCGCAGTATCTATGGCTCGCTTCATACGCCATACAGCAATGATAATCTTAGAATCGTACCAACGCGAGTGCATCAAACTTTTTAATCCCCAGCTAGTTTGGTTGCTACGTATGTGTACTGCAGCGGAGCGACTGCAATCCTATTGTATACAAATTATTAAATGTATAAACATATTTTTTTACATTATAAGACAAATTAGTGGAAATATTTATATACTCGTATTGATAACTAAGAACTTATGGTTATAACAAATTAGCTGGAAATGTAACAAAGGGTGTTAGTTTTCACTTTTTATTAATCTGCGTGTACGTTTATAAACATTTTTTGACTGCTTTCACAAAATGTATATACACATATATTGTTCAGGATTCACACACATGTAGGATATGTCTCAATATATCAAGGGTCAATCAAAGGGAGGATGATTTTACTAGAAAAACGAAGTTCAAAATATAGAATAAAATATTTTTATATTAGGTTTAGTGTGTAAAAAAACAAATTATAACTTATTTTTAGGGAGAAAATTACTCTATTTCTAATTAGACCATGAATACTGGAACATCCTATATATGAATCTGCAACAGTTGCTGTTTTTTATTTGTTATGTATTGTGTTTTGTATTTGTATTGGAACTGTAATGCAATTTTGTGATAGGAAAGGTCACCTGATAAATGTTTCTTGCATTAATGGTGACCTTTCATACATTTCTTGATACATGACTGATCTTGTGCAAATTCCAGTGAGTTTTTTCTACTGGACTTATAACTTGGGTATAAAGAAGCTTGTTTAATATCTATATACAAATAATGTACAATGGAATAGTATTTTGTAAGAATACTGAATAAAAATATCCATTTTCATCTTTGAAAAAATGATTAAAATTTATATATATAGATATTTTTTATAATTATTTAGAGATATCTATAAAAGCTTACCTTCTTTAATCCATTCGTCCAACTCTTCTAAAAGTTTTGTAGCAACTTGTGCTCGGGTGGGGTGCTCTTCGTACATAACAGGTTCAACATTTTTAGTAGGTTCTACAGACTTATCATCGAACAGAAGCCAGTCATCCTCTACATCTGTCGATAATGTCCCACTAGGGGACACTGGCTCCAGCTTCCACATCCAAATCTCTTGATCCTGACCAGCTGACATTGTTGATACGGGCCCCATCAAGAGGTATCAATAAATAATGAAAAGAAATTTGTGTCGTCTGTGCGACGTAGCTCGAAGTGAGCGCCATGATGGCTCTGAAAATGTAAAAGACTTATGGTTAGACATAATGTAACTATAAAATATTTTTCAATACATTGAAAACATTTCCACATTTTAATGTGTCGATTATTATGCGACTTATGCATAAGCTATACAATTGTTTGTTCATATTAAAACATGAACATATTAACTGTACCAACAATTAGAATAAATTTTTAATTGTCAGTTTTTGTCCCATTAATTCAATTACTCAGACTTTGTGTTACCTCTTTGATTGATAATACAAAGATGTGCGCAAAAAGGAAAAACATTTAAAAAAAGATTGATGGTTATCAATGAACAGTTAAAAAATTTCGAGGCGAACCAAATACGCGCGTTGTCTTCCAGTTGTATTATGTAACTTACAAGCAACTCATTATGGTAGGAATGTTCGCGGAAAATATGAGTACAAAGACACACTATAATTTCATGACGCAACACCGAACCATGTCATCTGGTCAAATTTAACAAAAGCACTTGCAATTTTAGTGTCCTAAAAATTGGTTTCTTCTAAATAATATACGAAACTCACATCGTCATAGAATGAGAAGTGAAATTCGTTGTTCGGTGATAACGTCATTCGGAATGCTTGCGGAATGATGATTCACAAAATGGCAGACCAGACATCGTGCCTACGTTCTGGCGTTTCGATAGAAACCCACGGACAGCCCTTAAAGTATTAAATGGTACTCACTCCATGATTATTTAGTTGTGTCGGCACACTTGCGTGTGCAAGCCGCTCGGTACACTATTGACTCATCTTGCTCGTCGTGAGAAACGTGTAGAAAATTTGAACGTCTTTCCTTTGCGAAGCATGGATGGAGAATAAGCGTCACCTTCTACCGAGAATTTGACCGCTCAGGTCACGTGATCCGGGAATGCGTACGCAAGGGTGCTCAGTTCGAACCGATTTCGCGGATCTTCTGCGCAGACACCGTGAAAGTTGGATTCCACAGGATCGCTGCCGCTTCGCGCGTGCTACTTTCTCTCCAACAAAATCACGGAAACGTTCAAAACTGTTTTACAGGAATTTAAAATCCCGTAAACGTATCAGTCGGCATGTAATCAAATGGAAAATCTGTTACAAAACAATTGGTTAATTATACATAAAATCAATTTCCTGGACCAGTCAAGGAGAAAATCAATAAATTCGAAAAACATATTGTTTGCAGTTTTATTCTTTTTACATCCTTCGCGTTGTTGTTTCAACATTTTAGTAAATGCTTTCGTATAATTTTTTTACATAATCACGCGACTTAGCATGTAAAGAATGTATGATACATTAGGTGTGAGTGACAGACTATTTATAATCAATAAAAATTTAATTACGATACACAGGTTCGTATGCTTCTTTAACTGTTCTTATTTTGCTTGAGGTAATCGTTCCTGAAAATCTGGCTTATGAATAATCCGATCCTCGTTCTGATATGCACCGGCGGAATCGACGTAACGATCTTTTGGATTCCGTGGCTCCAATAACCGGTACTGGTATCCAGTTTCCCGAGGGTGTTGATCGCATTTTTGGCATAAGTCGTTGCGTTCGGCACGAGAATGCTGGTCACCTGTAACCCATCGCAAAATCCAATGAGTACCATCGATGGTGGCACAGTTTTTTCTTGGTTCTATTAAAAGACTAAATAAAAGAATCACCAGACGGATTTTATTTTCTGTAGTTCATAGATGAAAACAGTAATCGGTTACTTAGTGCTCCAAAACGCTGACAACAATACTATTTACTTAATTCATGCTCCAATTCAATCACTGTCGCGGTCTCTAAATAAATCAATAATTAGCACCGCGTGCAGTTGCGCGGCTTCGAATTACCTGAAGCTTGTTGCTGTACGCGTTCATCTTCGTGTTGACGAAAAACGGCGTCAGGTGTTGCACCGTCAAGCCGAACCTCGAGTACTCGCTCCTGATCGCTTCCGAAAAGCTTCGAATGTATAATTTCGTCGCTGCATAGACGGTCATCAAAGGCATCGGTTGCAGCTCCGAGCCAGACGAGATGTTCACGATTGCGCCCTTTCCACGTTTTTGCATTTTCCCGATGAGCAGCCGGGTCATTAACGTGGTGGCCCCGACGTTCAAAGAGATGATGTCCCACAGCTCGTCCTCTGGGACTTCGCCGAGGTACATGGGGTAACTGTACATCATCCCGACGTTGTTCACTGGAAATGTATGTCGGTTGATAATCGATCAGCTGTCGTTGTCTTGTACTCCCATGCAACACCCTCAACGAAAACACGTTAACAATCTTGGCAATTTGCAAGTTAACACCTCTCACTCTCCGTCAGCCTAGATTCCATCGAAGCCGCTCGTTTTTAGACTCATTCGCGCTAATCACTTTCTTATGCTCCATCGTTCCAGTTCCCAAGACCACCGAGAACTACTCGCATACTTCGCGCAACAATTACCTAAGATCCCGACGGGAACGTCCTCCAACTGTTCCTTCAGTTTCTGATAAATCTCCCTTCCTTTACTGAAATCCGCCACGATGATCTTCACCTCGATCCCCGAGCGCTCCCGCAGGATTTCGTCCTTAGTCTTCTCCAGTTTCTCCAAGGACCTGCTAATCAGCACCAGGTTCACGCCCCTGGCAGCCAGCTCCTTCGCATAAGCCTTGCCGATGCCGTCGGTCGATCCTGTGACAACTGTATTTCCGACGACGATATTTGTAAAACGAAGAGAACAACGCGAAGGTATCGACGAAGCTACTCACCGGCCCATTCGCCGAACTTCGTCTTCAGGTCGATCGGCGTCGAGTCGAAGATCGGCAGGAGAATTTCCCAGACAGTTTCGACCACCCTGGCGACGTTGAGCAACAGCCAGAGGACGATCAGGCCGATCAGCAGCCACAATGCCAGTTGGAGCATCATTTTCCTTGAACAAAATCAAATCACCTTCTGCTTTCTGCGACGTCTGAGGAATTTTTGGGAACACAAATCGTGCGCACCGTTATCAGACAGCGGTCGAGGTACACGAGATTGCGCGTTACGAAACGAATAAAAGAACTTCTGCCAAATGTTTCGGTAATCTTACGAAACGTTTCGGCGTCATTGGTAGAAAGCGTTCGGCTAATCGTGATTCTTACGGTCTAATGCAATGGGAGAGTACGAAGTGTCAACAGAGACGATATCAGCGTCGAGACGTATCAGTGTCCGACGTGCTATTCAAACATTGACGAAGCACGAAGACGATGCGTTACCTAAATCCCTCGGGAACTTCGGATTCACTCGCTAATGCGGTAACACGTGCGCGCTCGACGGTCAGTGTTGTCTTCGATCGCGACACCGCATGTTCAACACGAAGCGCGTTTGCTGGCCGAGCTCATTCGGCCCGTTTTTCGTCAGCCAGTCGTCCGTTTTCGTAGGATGGTCATCCGACGAAGGCCAAAGCAAGACTAAAGTCATTCAGGACAAGTGTACGGCACAGATGGTGCTCGAAGGTAAGGCACTTTCTCTAGACGTCGCGCGAGCTATGAGGCAACGGATAGCGCATATTCGGGCGAGGATCTTTAAGCTAGTCGCCTAATCGGCCGCGCGAAACGATTGTATCAATATACCGCCGATGGCGTAGTTCACGTTCCACGCTAATTGATCGTGAATGGCCCATTGTGCAAAGCGCTTTCACCGGTCGACGCTTCACTAGCATTTCGCTCTATCAGAGTTTCGACAGAAGAGGCGTTCGACTAGATTTATTAATGCGGTACACGGGATGGATTAATTTGCATACTCTGGATTCCCATCTCGAACGTTCTCACGGGACGATACCCGCTCTTGTAGTACCGTTTCGGACCGTTTCCTTTGTCGTTGAAGAAAAGTGTCGGCTGAGATAGCATCTATCGTATTTCTGCGTCACAAGACTGGAACGCCGACCTTCTGGACCCGAAAGAATCGACTATTTATAGAATGGAAGATCGCGAAGAGTGGAGTTCATCGCATGGTTTGCTTGAATCCCGTAACAACGCAGTCGATTGTTTCTCTTGTTGCAAAAACATGCACGAGCGCGGACGGCACAATGGTCAACTCATGTTTGTCGGCGGAGTTAGCAATTACTTGGAAAATGGACCAACTCGCGTGAACGGTCTTCGTTGTTTTATTTGCGCGCTCGGTTCTAGCTGGCTCTTCAACGAACAATTCCGCCGCGATTTCGAGGCGACGATCTTGTGTCAGTCGATCTAAAAAATCTGAAAACCGTACTGAAACAATATCGACGCAAGGTTACGCGAAAGAATGGCCGGTGCTCGCAAGGGGAATCTTTAAAATTCAAGTTGTCCAAGGACACCGGCCACGTCGCCGTTTCGTCAAAAACCAGCGACGGTCTGACCCCCGTTGTCCCACCTCCGAAAATTACCTGGCCACGACCTATACCCGGCCCTCTAATCAGTCATTCTGGAACGGGAAGCTCGGGAACAATGCGCGAGTCCAGCTTCGTAGCCGACGGACCGAGCTCCGGCGCGGCGAGTCGTCTTGAATTTTGTCGGCGGAGCGTCGGCGAGCTGTGCTCAGGAGCGGGAACAGGTGGAAAAGGAAGATCGAGCGTGTCCCTGGTGAAGAAACGAAGATGCAATGTCCGGTGGCGCGCGCAGCTTCTTTCACTTCTACAAACTGGCACCACGTTCCATTCTTATGTCAGAAGGTCTCCGATACAAGGCAATAGCCGGACTGGCCATCATCGGTTCGGCCGTGGTTCAGCCGTGATCCAACGTGCGCGTTGTGCCAATTTTTTCGGCTGATCCAGGGATTTTCGGTGACCGGCGGGGATATCCCCTTCGTCGTTTCCATTTCCCGGTCCTCGGAGAACCCGAGAGAATTCGGAGGACGAATCTTGGTGCGTCTCCAGGAGAGAAGGGGCCATCGTTTCGGAGGATCATCGAACTCGACTTGCTCGACGATGCCACGTAGATTTTGACAGTCCGCGGTCCACCGTTACTGCCCGCAACAGGTGAGCTCGCGAGTCTGTCTCACGGCGATTCAAGGACAGTGGGTCGCGAATTTGCTGACCGGACGAGCGAGCGCGCGCCAGAGTGACGACCGTGTTCGGTGACATTGTTTTTCCGGATCGTGATTCCGCGTTGATACCTATATACCATCCGAGTCGTTTCGCTTTTTATCGGGTTGTTCGAGTGCGAGGCTCAGGGGAGGGGTTCAATTGTCCGGCGAATTCCAATCGGATTGCGCAATACCGAGCCGACGATGGCGATTCATTTGTTGTAGCCGTCCGATCGGCGAATTGAATTTTCAACACCTATTTATACCGTTCACGGTAGTCGACGGCAGTTGCGTCGGTCGGAACTGATACACTGGTTGGGCAGAGGTTACATCGATCGGAAGGTTACCGAGGATGGTTGTCGGAGGAGCGCATTGGAGCACCCTAATGTGCCGTAGGTTGTTCGTTGATTAGCGTCCGTTAGGGTCCATTAGTTCATTCATAACCATGGGCACCGGTGGTTTTAAATCGAAGCCGAGCGCTTCGAGCTCGAAATGTGTCTGACATATTATCCTATCGCCTGTAAAACCCCTGAATCGCTATACTATATTTCCTTCGTTAAAATCGAAGTGGTTCGAGTGCGATATCGTCTCACGAAGATAATCCACGTGAGTTTTCGAAAAACAAACATTTGCCTGTTATCGAACGCGAAGATACTTATCGAATGCCCGCCAGGCTGGCACAAGTATGTATTGTGAAACAGTCGAATGTGGTATTATGCAATCGCAAGACAAACACGTCTACGATTACTATGAAGATATAACTTTCGCCTGATACAGGTTAATCGATTATTTATAGATACAGGGAATCATCGGTTTCGTAACTCGTAATACTGTTATCGCGATCGTCCGCGGTCAGGATTCTGTGTTCTTTTTCTCGAAGACGAATTACGCGATCGAATTTGCTCCCTTTCTTTTTCTCACGTGTGACCGGTGTCGGTGCGTTTCTAGAACATTAACCGATCCGTTCGTCGTATCGTTGACCTGAAACCGACGGGAATCCGGGCGTCCAGTGGTCGCTTTTTCAAAGGAAAAGTCTGCTCTACATAAACGAGCACGAAACGCTCCGGCGAACCGTTCGTTTAAAGCCCACTTCGGAGGCGTTTAATTAGCCGGCAGGAAAGTCTCAGTCGTTCGGTCCGATCGTTACGTTCTATTCCTTCCTATATGGATCTCTGATTCACAGATGCATAGTTCCGAGAAGATTTCCCACAACAACCGCGAATCCGTGTCACTCAAACGCGCAACCAGCTGACTGAATTGACACCAATAAACGTTTAATTGAAAGACCTCTCGCGGTCGTTCGTGTTTCTACGCCAAATGAAATCGATTTACGAAGCTCTGTTTATGTTAAATATCAATGCAATTCGTGAATCGCGTGGGGGCTTCCCTGTGTGCACGATCAATGAACGTCGATCGGCTCCGCTATCTGTTGTTTTTATACACCGGAAAAATAAGGTTCCGCACAGTATTTCCTCGTGCGGCTTGATGAACTGACTTCTGCATGCAAATTATTGCAAACGAATGCACAGGAAAATCAGTTCGTCGCACATGCTTTTCGTAAACTGGAGAACATCCATGAAGGAGTTGCACTTCGAATATTCTGTACGATGACCCTTTCTTCTCTATCTATAGTCATCCTTAGACCGTGAATTTTCGTGTAATAATAAATAAAAGTTGTCTGCATCGATCGCAGATATATGTACAGTGATGTCTCTCTAATTGACGCCCAGATTGCGCACAAGAATGGACAATTTGGGAAGAGGAGATACGATTATTCGAGCCTCGCGGTTTATTTTTATAGTTGTAAATTGTCCACAATTATAAAAACGAGTCACAAGGCTCGAATAATCGTATCTCCTCTTCCCAAATTAACCAATTTAGTGGAACAATCTAAGCGTCAGTAAGGGAGACATTACCGTATACAGAAGCTGCATCGATGCTTAAAAATCGTTGAATGTTTTCACTTCGATCTACCATCGTTTGACACAAACGCGTAAAATCCACGGTCTAATAATAACTGTACGATCCCAGGTTTCGATGATCTTCGAATGAAAAGAATCTGCTAACCGCGGAAGATGGTGCGCGCCGTTAACCAATTCAGAGTTTTGTCTGATTTGGCAGGAACCGTTCGTAAACAGCTGTCTACCATCAAGAAAATAATTCAATGTCCCGGGAGGGCAGGAAGGACGATGACGGGATGCTGTGTTCGGGAGACAGTGCTGCTTATCCTCAGCGTGTCGGTCTCTATTGCGACCGGGAACGCAGCCGGAGAGCGTACCTTGACGAACGATGATAGGAGACGCCTCTTCGAGGCGGAGAATTTCGTCTATTCCTGGACAGGACCGAATGCTCTGGCGAGATCTGCCCTGGTAGAACGGCAGGAGAGATTGCAATACAACTGCGAGGAGATCCTCAACGATTTGGGCACGGTCGACGAAGTCTCGGAACCGGAATCCTTCAGGAATATATTGGTGGACGAGCAGCACGATCTTCTTTACTGCTACGTTCCTAAGGTACGGCACGATTAATCGAGGCGATCTAAAGCTGGTGTCGTCGTTTTACGGAACGCAGTTATGATTGGTGGACATTTCTTTACTCGTTAAGCATTTTACTGCTGAAAGTTCAAAAGTCAGCGGTTTTAAATTGCGGCAGTGAGAAAATGGGAGGGGAGGAAACATAACTAACTTAACAACAGTCATGTAGTCTCGTGTTTGCCCGGGAATCGACATTCGATCATGGTAATTTTACTAAAGAGGTTGTCACCGTTGAGTTTATAAAATATGCTTGTTTTGGCTTTTTTTTCTCGAAAGATATTCAGCCGCCGCTGTTCGTAGTATATTTGCGTGTAGCACAGCATGCGATTCAGTCGCGAGTTAGCTCGCGTGTCAGAAATTCAGCGGGTCCTTGACTCTTTGTGAACGTGCAGCAGAAGTCGATCGGGCCAGGTTTTATCGACGTCGGAGNCTCTGTTTATGTTAAATATCAATGCAATTCGTGAATCGCGTGGGGGCTTCCCTGTGTGCACGATCAATGAACGTCGATCGGCTCCGCTATCTGTTGTTTTTATACACCGGAAAAATAAGGTTCCGCACAGTATTTCCTCGTGCGGCTTGATGAACTGACTTCTGCATGCAAATTATTGCAAACGAATGCACAGGAAAATCAGTTCGTCGCACATGCTTTTCGTAAACTGGAGAACATCCATGAAGGAGTTGCACTTCGAATATTCTGTACGATGACCCTTTCTTCTCTATCTATAGTCATCCTTAGACCGTGAATTTTCGTGTAATAATAAATAAAAGTTGTCTGCATCGATCGCAGATATATGTACAGTGATGTCTCTCTAATTGACGCCCAGATTGCGCACAAGAATGGACAATTTGGGAAGAGGAGATACGATTATTCGAGCCTCGCGGTTTATTTTTATAGTTGTAAATTGTCCACAATTATAAAAACGAGTCACAAGGCTCGAATAATCGTATCTCCTCTTCCCAAATTAACCAATTTAGTGGAACAATCTAAGCGTCAGTAAGGGAGACATTACCGTATACAGAAGCTGCATCGATGCTTAAAAATCGTTGAATGTTTTCACTTCGATCTACCATCGTTTGACACAAACGCGTAAAATCCACGGTCTAATAATAACTGTACGATCCCAGGTTTCGATGATCTTCGAATGAAAAGAATCTGCTAACCGCGGAAGATGGTGCGCGCCGTTAACCAATTCAGAGTTTTGTCTGATTTGGCAGGAACCGTTCGTAAACAGCTGTCTACCATCAAGAAAATAATTCAATGTCCCGGGAGGGCAGGAAGGACGATGACGGGATGCTGTGTTCGGGAGACAGTGCTGCTTATCCTCAGCGTGTCGGTCTCTATTGCGACCGGGAACGCAGCCGGAGAGCGTACCTTGACGAACGATGATAGGAGACGCCTCTTCGAGGCGGAGAATTTCGTCTATTCCTGGACAGGACCGAATGCTCTGGCGAGATCTGCCCTGGTAGAACGGCAGGAGAGATTGCAATACAACTGCGAGGAGATCCTCAACGATTTGGGCACGGTCGACGAAGTCTCGGAACCGGAATCCTTCAGGAATATATTGGTGGACGAGCAGCACGATCTTCTTTACTGCTACGTTCCTAAGGTACGGCACGATTAATCGAGGCGATCTAAAGCTGGTGTCGTCGTTTTACGGAACGCAGTTATGATTGGTGGACATTTCTTTACTCGTTAAGCATTTTACTGCTGAAAGTTCAAAAGTCAGCGGTTTTAAATTGCGGCAGTGAGAAAATGGGAGGGGAGGAAACATAACTAACTTAACAACAGTCATGTAGTCTCGTGTTTGCCCGGGAATCGACATTCGATCATGGTAATTTTACTAAAGAGGTTGTCACCGTTGAGTTTATAAAATATGCTTGTTTTGGCTTTTTTTTCTCGAAAGATATTCAGCCGCCGCTGTTCGTAGTATATTTGCGTGTAGCACAGCATGCGATTCAGTCGCGAGTTAGCTCGCGTGTCAGAAATTCAGCGGGTCCTTGACTCTTTGTGAACGTGCAGCAGAAGTCGATCGGGCCAGGTTTTATCGACGTCGGAGTCGAGCGTGCAGTCGGTTTCGCAATTGCTGAGTCTGCGATTGAAAACTTAGATACCGGGTGTCGCAACCGGGGAGGTTGCAAAAGGTTCCTGTTTATTTGTGCCCCTGCTAAGTGCCACGTATTCGTTCGTAAGGTTGCCTGCACGAACTGGAAACGGGTTTTGATGGTTGCCACCGGGAAATGGCCAGGTAACGATCCCCTGGAGATACCTGCCGATCAAGCACACTCGCAGGGCACTTTCCAAAGGCTGAGCAACTACACGCTGCCCGAGATCGAACGAATGCTAGCAACTTACGACAAGCTGATAGTGGTACGGCATCCGTTGGAAAGGCTTCTGTCCGCCTACAGGAACAAATTGGAGGCGAAACACGAGAAGAGCTCGATGTACTTTCAGTCTCGCTTCGGGAAGAAGATCGTCAAGGTTAGCGGACCGTTCTCCTGTTTTCTAGTTTAGCGAAACGATACCAAAACGCGATGATCATTTGCAGAGATACAGGCAAAACGCTACCGAGCAGTCGCTGAAGAACGGCGACGACGTCACATTCCCGGAGTTCGTCGAGTTCGTCACGGACGATTCGTCGAACGAGACCCGAAACGAGCATTGGAACCCGATTTACGAACTGTGCCAGCCGTGCTTAGTTAATTACAACCTCGTCAGCAAGTACGAGAGTTTGGTGGAGGATGCCACCGAGGTTCTGGAACGAATGGGCGTCGAGTCAGTCAAGTGAGTCTCGAATTTCTTCATCGACCGATGGTTCAACGGGAAAGGAGCACTTTTTCGGACGAGAATCTGTAATTTCTCGCCTTTCCTCTCCCTTCATTCTTGCAATATTCAGTATATTCGCTATCATCGTGCAAGACAATACCCTTCCCGAGACAATCGCAAGGTAGATTTTATCTACTAGAGAATCCGCAGCTCCGTCAATTCGATGGGATGCTTCGACAACGATCGACAAACTGTTGAGCCGTTTTCCATGCATTAGAAAAATGTCTCGATATGCAACTGTCTCTTATACGAACTACCCGCGCTACCGCCCGTAACCAGATTTCATCGCGAAAGTTCAGCGTTTCAGTAAGACTTTAATGATTTTTGCAGTTTCCCGGCGAAACCGGTGAACAGCGAGCCAACGTCGAAGAAACTCGAGAAATATTACTCGACGCTGACGTACAAACAGCTCCGAAAGCTGGCGGACATGTACAAACTAGACTTAAAGCTGTTCGACTATTCGTTGGAGGAGGTGCTCGGATTTTCGCTGGCATGACTCCGTTTTCCGTTTAACGATTGAATACGCTTCGAGCAACTAATTAATGCGATGGTAATTCTGCGGAATCGCGGAGTGCGAGGAAATAGGTTGTAAGTGTTTACGTGGCGGCGGCATCTGTTTGTTACGCAAACCCAGTTGAAGATAAGCGGCCGCGTCCCCGCCTTTTATTGAAACGGGTCTCTCATATCGTACTTGCAGATATTAATTGTCTGTCTCTGAGTCATTAGAAAACCGTAGGATAAGGAAAACGCGAGCCCGGCTGTTGGTCGTGCGGTCACATCTCGTCTCATGATCTTGTTTCCCTTCGTCGTTTCCCGGCGTACGCTGCACATATTTAAATTTCGTTCTGCACACTGCGATTCGAGTTTCGGGGCGAAAAAGGGCTGTTAATCTTTTCATGATCTTATCTAGAGTAAACGATGCATACAAGTAGCTGTACAACGTCGCGCTAGTCTAATTAAGTAAGTTAAACTGAAACGAATCGAAGCGATCGGTGGTGATCGGTGCTTAGGAATAGTTAGAAAACGGAACGGTCCTTCCGTTCAACCCCGTAAAAGTGGGTGGGTACATTTCCATTTCGTTGATCGAGATACATACTTCTACAGACTCCGCAAGAACTCCGGCTGTTCAATATTCATGCGCACCGATACATATTTATAATTTATGCGACGGACGCCTCGTCGGATAACTATGTTAATCGCGTCGCTGGCCATATTCGCGCAACGCGCTGCGCTTACGAACACGTACAAACCTTTGTAAACGTATTCTCCTAATAATCCTTGATCTGTCTCTCTGCAACGTGCATCTGTGCGGCTCAATCGTGTTACCACGTCACTTGTGCCGAGGATCTCCATTTCCCGTCGCGTGTAATCCTGTTTCTGATCGAATAAAAAAAAAGACACGTATTTTGTATGACGCCCGGCGCTATTTCCGATCAATTAATAAACACCGACCTCCGCCCAGAATCCACGATCCTCCACAGGTGTTCGACGCCACAGGAAGTGGCGTTGCGCAACGCGTCGAAGATGTTTGCTACATTGTCCATCTCGGCTAATATTTGGCTTACGCGTTAAAATTAGCCGAAGGCCTGGAAATGATGGACGATGTCGCAAGGGGCGAGAGGGGACGAAGAGGAGCCGCCAGGCCTAATCAAAACGTGTGCTTCCTCGGCGACCAGAATAGAGCCGGCTGTCCATCAATCAAATCGAAGGACTTCCGAACGTTCGATTTATGCGGCCGTGTAAACAGCCCCGAAATGCACTCCGGTTCGCGGGAAACATCATTCTCAAGCAACCGACACGCGCTGACCCTCGAAAGAGAGCCGGTTTTACTGCCACCCACACCTAAGTCCTACCGTTATGCGCTCGTGATCAGTTCCTTTAGCAATGCTTCATCGCGCTATACAACCATTAATAGATTTTCGAACGGTGTTACGAACAGGCTGCACGTGAATACGACATTGATGACCTGTTTACCGTCGTGCACCGCTCTCTGCGGAGGATTTTTCTTTCGTTTGATCCCCCTACGCCAACGGTACTGTCGCAAACGTAATTTATCGCAGGACGCACGCCAAAGTATTGACATTTGAAATGCAGCCTTGAAATTAATATTGTTGTTACTGTTGCGGCTATGGTAGGGGAACAATAGCGGTGCGGGCTTACCGGAAGCTGACGGATGGATGAAAATTTGCAAGAGGCACACCCTTTCGACGACTGCACAGTACTGTCACACTGTCTAACCGTACGCAATGCGTTCAGTTTTCGCCGAGCATCGATCCGACGATTTTCATTGCTCATAGTCTTCCGAATGATGATCAGTTTCGTTCAGGGACGACGCTATGGAAAAAAATCGCAGTTTTCGCGGTAAATGGAGCAGCTCACCGAAATGATCGCTCCGCACTGGTAATTCCTGATAGCTACGGGTTTCTTTAGAAATGACGTTGATTCCGGGACCACCAATGTCTAAGCTTAGCACGGACCATGCTCGACGAGAGACAAAGCGAATCTTTAATTCATAAACTCCTAGGCGGGTTTGCAGAATGAATTCACAGAAGTTGGAATAGAAGAGGGTGCCGACGGCCATCAATACGGCCATGAACCGTGCAAAGTTTAAAGGGTATTATTGCAATGAACCGACTATTGATAACACTAATAACACAGTGCATCAATAGATTCAAACTCTGTTTACGATCGCTAATGTTCACTGGGCGATCGTTTGAGATACATCAAGAGTTCGAGAGGGAATGTTTTCGGGATTTTTGCGTTTTGCCGCTACGTGTAATGGCGCTATTTTTATAATTTCAGGAGCAGCTGATTCGTGTCGGATTTTACACTGTGCTTTAAGACAAATGCGGCAAAAATCATCTGTACTCAATATTTACATCAATAAATAAACTTTCTTTTGCATGATGTAGATATATGTGTGCAGCAGGATTTCCTTAATATTAATACATACAGAGAAGTCTGCTTTATTCGAGAAATTTAACGACAGTGACGTCTTAAGAGTATAACGAACATTCCGAGGGTACAAAAATGTTCTCATACGTTTCCTAACGTTTCGGAAAATCTAAATAAGTCAGTAATTAAAGGCTCAAAATGAATGCTCTTGATTTCAAAATGTTCCCGATGTTGATGCGCATCGATTTCACGCTGTTGTTGCCATAATTATACTTATTTACGATTTTTTAAAAAATAGCCCGTTTTTGGACCACGAAACACTATCACCACGTAGCGGTGAACGCTCAAACTAAATCTCTCCTATATGCACACTAAAGGGTCGTCGAAAAACATTAATTATGGCAAAATTAGGGCGTACAAAAACAAACGATGTGCACAGGATTATCCAGGAGAGATTACTAGATCGATATCATATCAAAAAACGGACGACAATACTGCAAAACATAATTAATTGCTTTTTGTTTCACGGTGTAGTTACCTGTCTTTTTTAATGCGATACGGCGTAGTAGACTCTTCTGAACGATCCTGGGTCCTTGGTTTATTTTTTTTTTTTGCGTCCTAATGTTGCCATAATTGATGCTTCGCTGCGACCTTGCATTGCGCATATAATCTGAACTCTTAAAATTTATGAATAGATTATTAGATGAATTCTAGCAATTTGTGGGTTAGATAAATATTTGAAGATACAGAAATATTCAAGACACTTTCTTATCTCTATATCGTGGAAAAAAGTTTACTTATTTATAAAAATATAAAAATAGCGCCAATACATGTAGCAGCAAAACGCTAAAACCTGTGGACAAGTTACCGACTGTTTCTATATTTTTGGAAGCATCAGATGGCGCCATCGTGCATTTCCCAGCAGTAAGTTTGCTCTGTTGATAAATTGATTACCAGTTTGAGCGTTTTGCCGCTACGTGTAACGGCGCTATTTTTATAATTTCAGGAGCAGCTGATTCGTGCCGGATTTTACACTGTACTTTAAGACAAATGCGGCAAAAATCATTCATACTCAATATTTACATTAATAAATAAACTTTCTTTTGCATGATGTAGATGTAGCAGGATTTCCTTAATATTTCTGTATACTCAAAATATCGTTTTTATTCTTAAATCGATGGGTTTCATCCCATTTTCCATGTGCATATCCTTTTTACGGCTGACTCGGCAAGAATCATTTCCGCAACTGCGTTAAATGTATCAAATTGATGAGGTTTAAAGCAACAGAAGCAATCGAGCGTCAAAGATTGCAACAATGGGTCTATTGTTTGACTGTGAGAGACGGACAAAGAACGATCCGACACTGGATGGGTCGAAGTCGAAATTCCCATCCTTGGAATGCCATTGTTGAAAGTGAATTCCATTGTTATATTTGGATTCAAGCACGTAGCGTGGGTGTGATCAGGAGCATCTTCGTTTAAAAATAAGAGTTGATTCCTTTCGGTCACTTAAAGGTGACATCAATCGACCTTGTGCTATTTTACTATATAATTAAATTAGCCCTCTTCAAAAGGTAGAATACCTTTGCTATTTGATTAATCATCACTGCGTATACCCGCGATGTTCGCAATCCATTCAGAAACGAAAATTTACGTAATTATCATTCGAATTGGGAACACATTGCACAGAAAAGCTATTTTCGAATAAAACGCGTTCATCTCTTAACGTTTACTAACGATTCCATTACTTTCAACCTTCGCCATTCTTGTCGTCCTTCGCCGTATCTTTCATTATCTAAAATACATTATAAAGTTCCAGAAACTATGCAGCTCTTATCATTAATGTCCGAGCATCGATAAAACGTAGGATCGACGATCGAGGAATCGAATTGCTTTCGCACCGAACCCAGAAAACTGTAAACACGACATTGTCCGAGATATCTGCGTCTCGCCGCGAGATTACAGCCAGTAAAACGCAAGCTGCGTTCTTTCTGATCGGCGACGAGTCCTCCTAAATTCTTTTCGCAGCATGACATCGCGGTTCCTTGGACCAGATTCTCGAAAAAGCTGGGGAGCGCCCGTGGCAACCCTATCGATCGTGGAAGGTCGCCGAGTGTTTACGAGAAGGTGTTGACACTCTGCCCGGCGACCCTGAAACCGTCTTTCCGACAAGAAGGATCGCGGATCGATCGCTGTGCTTTTTCTACCGAAGCTCTAACCAACATTCACGAAGCTTAATATAACCTGAGGTGGCGGAACTTGACTGTTTCGCATCAGCGACCGGTGGTGGGACCCGGGCTACCAATCCTGGAGCAGAAGTTACAAGGGAAGGTGCAACGCAGCGTGTACCATAGACCGGGTGGGGGTCCGACAGGGTTCCTGGAGGAATTTCGGGACCATTGCGGATCCTGCGTTGAGTGATCTAGTCGAAGATCGGACGCAAAGTGGCACGGTGCTTGCTCGATCCCTTCGGGCCGACTTGAAGCGATCGATCTACCAGTTCACGTCGCTGTACGCTACCACACGACCGACACCTCAGCCTTCGATTCGTAAAAATCGTCCGACGACGGAATAACTGATTAACCAGAAGAACCATCAACGACCGCTGACAATTGTCCCGTGAGTAGATTACGATCTCGACCCCCGTCGCTTGTCGAAGCGTCGCGAATGAAACTTTAGAAACGGGACACATGATGCGCATTTTCTGTCATCCGCAGTTCGCCGCGAACATCTCGCGAAAATGCCGCAGCCGGCTCACGAGACGAGGAACATCCTCACCACGTACTTCATCCTCATCCTTCTACTGATCAGTCTCTGGCTATTGTACGCGGGGCTGTTTTAACTTCAGAGTACATTCCTTTACGATGGTACGTCTTCTCTGCTTATTCTGGCAGCTTCTACGGCGTCGCTTCTTATCCCGACGCTCGTTGAACTCCCCGTGACAAACGCGTGTCGACGCGCGCCACGACGACAAATGCTAAACGCCTGTCGGAGATGTGTAAATCGTTCTTGTTGGTTCTAGGAGTGAAGCGACACGAGGGAAGCACGCGAAACATCCAGTCATCCCTTGGGCACGCCTTGGCCGGCCCTTCCTCCTCATGTTTGAATCTGTCCGCGTCAATTCCACATTTTTCTATTAAAACGTCTGCAAAATGAACGGAACCGGTGTATTCTATTCGCACACGACCTGGAAGTTGTTTAGTGTTGTACAGTGTTTTCCGCAGAAAGATCGGCAACGAGTGAGTTATCGACCGCTGTGAATCGTTTTGACGAAAATCGGTGACAAATCGACCGATTGTCAAACATCAGTGGACAGGCTCTGGTGGACAAGCTCTGCTTTAAACTAACGCTTTAGCTACCGGCAGCCTAATCGCGGCCGCTTTAATAACACTAACGTTAGCTTAGCGAAAATTCATTTCGGCTGACAATCTGAGGAGAAGTTATTAGATCTATAAACAACCACCGGTAAGTAAGCTGTCGATAATATTAGTTAGCCAGGTGTGCCGGACTAACAAGCGTGCTCGCACCAATTCGCATGGTGATGCAACAACGGTTTCGACAAAAACCGAATGGGGTCAGTAAACATAATAGAAGTCGAGTCGGACGTAGGAAGATCAAAGGACGCCGCCCGGTTTTTCATAAATACGCAAAGTCGCGCGTTTCAGCCTTCTGGCGGGCAACGCGTCTCGCAGAAGTAACGATTGCGGCCGTCGAGCTGTCATAAACGCGATAAAAAATGCTCGCCGCGGTCACGATCTAAGGTCTCGCGTGAAAGAAAAAAAAGAAAAGAAAAAGGTCGAACGGAGGTGTCTGCTCGCGAAGATGGGATGCGTGCACGGTCGATCGCGTAAGGAGCGCGTGGGCGTCCCGTCGAAAATAGCCGGTGCTCCTTCAGCTCTTTCGACCGGTGTGTACGGTCTGTAACATTCAGCGTACACAGGGAACTAAATCGGTGTTTTCGATAGCAGCCCCGAAAATAGACGTTATGAGGATCGCCTCTATCTCTCGCTATCGTCTCGCTGTACGCGCTCTGTAAAAACCGAGCGGACTCGCCGTTGCGTAATCCGCGCTCTGCCGGTATACACCGAGGATCGGATTACCGATTTATTTGATATCCCGAACGCCCCGAATATCAGCTTAAAAATAAACCGCGACAAAGAGATCTGCTTGTCCTCGATTTTTCGATCGAACGGCGCCGATCCGTGAAACGACCGCCGCCCAACGTTGCGCCTAGAGCCGATGAACGCCGACTTCCGGTTTCGACACGATCAGAAGAAACGCTGCGCCGAGTTAGCAACGAGACCAGTTTCCCGGGATTTCTCGGTTCCCCGGATCGGCTCGTCAAAGCGAAGTCGTCGAGGCTCGGACTTCAAAGCGGAAACGCGTAATATCGGCAGACATTTTTACGAACGCCACCGGTGGCGTTCCAGTAATCGCTCGAAATAGATCTAATTGCTCCAGATTCTCGTCGGGCCGCGCGTACGTCGTGCCACGTTACACAATAGATCGTCTAAACTCGTGTAACGAGCCGATCCGATTCCGGTTCGATCATCGGTTTCGCGAAAGAAAAAACCTGGCGATACGACGGTTCGGGAAGGGAAAGGCAACAACGGCCAGCGTGTCCGTGGGAGAGAAACACGTTTCTATTGATTCATCGTCGATCAATAAATATTCCGTCTGATGTTCCCGTAGCCCTCGTAATTCGTTCGTTTCTGTTTCCTCGCGGCGGAGCTGTTCTTCCAACGTAGATATTTGGCGCGGCAGAACAGTTTGATGAAATAGAGGATCTCCACCACGCTGAGGAAACTGCAGCCCAGGAACAGGCTGAAGATCCCGCCGATCGACGCTGTAACCAGCAACAACTGTCAAGATATAGCTGTGAAAGCTAGAACGCGAATGCGAGACGGTTCTTTGGAAGTCCTTTACCCAAAAGATAAACCTCGTCGGCCGCTGACACGGTCTCCGTCGTCACGAAAACTTGCGACTTCATGAACACTCTCAAAATAGCGTCTCTGCTCGACACGTTTTTACTGAAACAGATGTACTGGAGATTTAATCGCGTCGTTGCTTGCCAGAACTCGATTTCTGGCAGCACGTTCATCCTTTCATCCCCGATTGTATAGAAATATAGTACAATAATAAATGATTCATCGATGTTCGATTCAATATTCATTCGATAAACGATTCATCATCCAACGTATTGTCGCGATAATCGCGAATTCCACCCTAATTATACACCGGATTGACAACTGGTCTGAGGATCTTCGCACAAATTCAACGTTCCGCCGCGTACAGTAATGTCTCCCTTACTGACGCTCGGATTGTCCACTAAAATGGATAATTTGGGGAGAGCAGATACGATTATTCGAGCCTTGCGGCTCATTTTTATAATTGTAGACAATTTATAACTACAAAAATAAACCGCAAGGCTCGAATAATCGTATCTCCTCTTCCCAAATTGTCCATTTTTGTGGCCAATCTGGGCGTCAATTAAAGAGACATTACCGTATTTCGTGCCAACCGACAACAACGGAACATTGATTCTGTCAAACAGAACGCTCCTCGTAGTAAAAATAGACCATCGACATATCAAAAGTGGAATGAGCTATTGTAACCGCCGTCGTAGCTCGGTATTCGCGGTTTGGCGAAGATCCAGTGTGTTCGTTATTCCATGATCATCGCAAGACAGACCGCAAACGTGATTCAGAAAATGGCACGAGCACCGACAGGGTCCTCGAACGCGTCATTAGCACGGTGTCCACTCACTAAGTAATCGCAGCCTGCGGCATTGACAGTTCGATCGAGTTGGGAAGGGCGTCGTAAACAGTTTCCACGCAAGGTGTCCGACAGGTGCAGGTCAGATTCTCCAACTTGACGTCTCTGATGATACTGATCTCCTTGGTGTTCTTTTGGATGCACGACAATCCTTCCAGCCCGCACGACTGAAATTCACGAGGCTGTTGTATGCGATCCGAGAGCCGTTCGCGATAGAAATATTTCGCGAGCATTTACAGTGATGCGATAGTAGTTGACCAGGTGCTCGTAGATGAACGGCAGGCATCCGCAGATCCTGATCATCGCCTTTACCCTGCAGTTCGCGTAGCAGTTCGAGTACGTGTAGATGGGAAAATACTCGAGCCCATCGGCGTCCTTGACGCAAATTGGAACGACTTTGCCGTACCTGTTGCGATGATGCAGATCGGTCGGTTTCTCGATTATCGTTGGGTTCACGCTGACCTACGCAGAACATTATATCGTCCTCGATCTGGTTGTGGTTTCGTGATATTCGTGGAGGAGTTATTTCTAATTGAAATTCCGACATTTCTCGCCCGATAAGCCGGCTTCTTCCTAAGGCAATTACAGTAATGTCTCTCTAATCGACGCTCAGGTTGTCCACAAAAATGGACAATTTGGAAAGAGGAGATACGATTATTCGAGCCTTGCGGTTCGTTTTTATGGTTGCGAATTGTCAACAACTATAAGAACGCGCTACAAGGCTCGAATAATTGTATCCCCTCTTCCTAAATTGTCCATTTTTCTGCACAATCTTAGCGTCAGTTAGGGAGACATTACTGTACCGGGCGGCGGATCTTCGTCTGTTTATAGAATTTCTGTATTAACTTTTATCTTATACATATCGTTGGCACAAAAAACTCTTCACTCAGCAAAATATATATTTCCTTCGCATCTTTATAAAAATGTCCCGCGAATGTACGTACGAGTTGGCACGAAGGTCAGCAGTCCGGTAATTACTCTGTNACTGTACCGGGCGGCGGATCTTCGTCTGTTTATAGAATTTCTGTATTAACTTTTATCTTATACATATCGTTGGCACAAAAAACTCTTCACTCAGCAAAATATATATTTCCTTCGCATCTTTATAAAAATGTCCCGCGAATGTACGTACGAGTTGGCACGAAGGTCAGCAGTCCGGTAATTACTCTGTGATCCGATTGTTACCTGCATTTCCGTGCTCTTTTGGAGAATGTACGCGTTAGTGTTGAGCCCTGGGAAATCGAGGCTGTGATGGACAAACACCTGTCGAAGGCATCGCATGACACGTCAATTCTCAAGGTCCTTCGACATAATTACGAAGTCGTTACAATTAATTACTAAATTATTATTTCGTCGCACCCCTATTCCGTTGCCGTTCGGAACCGGCTTAATGGAACGGGACCTGTTCTTCGAATCGATGCCAAGCGTCCGGCTACTTATTAACAGTTTCAGACCGCTTCTGCGTCCATAGTCGACGGACCGGATAGGTTTCGGGACTGGCTGGTTCCTGACCGTCGCCGGAAAAAAAGAAACGTCAATGTCATCGTGCCCGCAGCAATTACAGGACTAATTATATCGGGACTCGCTAAACGTCTACAAGCATTTTTCCCGACATCTCTGCGTAAAATATGGAAATCTCAGTAGGCTGACTCATTGTCAGGGATACTTGCTTATCACGGCCCACGAAATCCTCGAGAAGATAGTTAAAGGAGCAACAGAGTCCGTAAGAACTATGAGACAGCAGCAAGGATTTCCTGCAATCGATTCGTTCGCTGCTCCACCAGCAGGACTCCAACATGTCATCGCAAGGCTGCAGGATCTTCAAGAAGTCGGCAATGGTCCAATAATTCGCAGCCAGCAGCTCTTCCAGACGATAACTTTCGTCGTAATTTTGCGTCGCGTACGGCAACGTAATGATGTGACCGTATCTGTTTCGAACATAATCGCGGAGAGCACAGTATTAAATTTATTGCAGTTCACAAACGTAGCTGATGATACTAGCGTGATCCATCAAGACTCTCGATCAACGTGGCATGTAGAAAATGATTCAGAAGAATGTAGAATCATTTTAGCGGATAGGCTTTTTATGATACGCTAATCGATAGAATGTTTCTGTATACACCGTACATACTTCAGAAGGTTCTCCACGGTCTCCACGCTCATGTTCTCGGGTATGTTGATCCCGTGCAAGATTTTCTCCCGTCTTTCCCGCGGGATCGGCGAAAGTGGGCACAGCGTGACCGCCGGAAACGGCGCGTTGAATATCGGGTTATTGAACGATTTTATGAACGTGTTGGTCGGGTTCTCGTTGTAACGGTTCAGAAACTGTATCACCATGATGGCGGAACCTGAAACGAAGGGTCCACTTATTCCATTCTCCAGAAAATCGCCGATTCGCGGGATCGATCGACTCTTACACGCGAATCCGGTGAGTATCGTGCAGGTCCACAGGATCTTCCCGAAGAATCCGACCTTCATGTCCGTTTTCCCGAAGTATTGCAAACCGTGGATGGAGGTGCTCTCCAAGAAATCGTTGACGATCTCTCTGGTGGTCGGGATGTGTTCCTGTTTCTTCGCGGGCTCGGCTTCGTTCGCGGCGTCGACGCCGATGATTTTCACCGTGGGGCTGATCCGTCGGCCGAAGTCTCGTTTAAGGTCGCCCTTGAAAGGGACGAGTCGTTGATTCCTGCTTGCGAATTTTCCCGGCATCTCAGAACCCCGAGGAAGAAGACCGACTCCTTCGAATTAAAGCCCCGTGTGCCGACTGAGTCCGTTCTCAGAGGCAGAAAGTTGCGTTTCGCTGGGAACTCGATGTCGTCGCGTGTGCTTTCGATGTCAATAATTCACGGCCGTTTTGCAAATTAATCACGGAACCGCTCCAGCTGTGCGCCGGCAGATCTTATCGACCGTTTATCAGTGTCGTGCGCAGAAAGGGTCATCGATTTTCTGGCGTACCCGTGATTCAGCGTCGACGACGTATTGTACATGGAACGACAGGCTTGACATTGGAAAAAAGTGCACGGTTTAATTATTAACAATCTGTATCACATGTACACGTTTGTAACAATGCTAGACACGCGTGTCTTATAAAATTATATTATATGTATATTTATAAATTTCTATATCTGTTAACACTCTCTTTGTCGCTTAAGCATTAGAAAGAAACATTTCACGTATCAAACGTCTCCATCGAGATAGAACCCTGTTCTGTCCTCCTATCCGTCACGCTCCTGCTTCAACGTTTATTTACAGTGTCTCAACAATTAGAAAGAGAAAACAACGGAGGTGACTACGCTACGCACCACGTACAAATAAATAACGCAGAACGAAATACAAAAGGACTATGTACAAATTAGAACGTAGAACCGATCGGCGCGACCGCTATTTTGTACAGACTGCTATCGACGATCTCGAAGTGTCCGAGATTCGCAGCGTTTCGAACGGATGGTCTGCGTTTTCGAAAAATATTGTCCGCGTTTCGAACTGATCGATCCAGGACTCAGAAATCTTGAAACAGTGCTAATTGGTCCGGTGGTAATGGAGGCTGCGATCGCCAGTCGGTTTCTGGGTAGTCGTCGAAACAGCTTGGATCCCCTGGAGCCTTTACTCGGGGTCTTATCGGGGGGTTTAGGGCCCTTTGTGGTACCTGTTGACATTATCAGTTCCGATTAAAATATTACACTTTATTGGAAATACAATAGAATTGTAAATTCTGTGCCAAAATCTCTGGATTGTTATTTATAGGCATTGATGTTAAGAAATGATTTTTTCCCTCCATTTTGTGGATCTGACGACGCACTGCTTTTATAAAGTATTACTTTTCTAGCTTAATATTGGCTTAAACGTAGTTTCAATGGTACTAATTTATTTGTTTGATAATAATTTAGTAAAGTTATCGATTAAGTTAAGATATCGATTTATATCAGACATTTATTCTTCTTAGTGAATTAGATGCATAAACATGCATATAAAACGCTCCGTGGAGAAGGAGACAAGAAACTGCAGTAGAAAAAGTATGCACGTACGAATAAATCATTTCATGCTGAGAAAAGGAAACCGAGCTATTTGATAATTAAAAATTCTATTCAATATCCTGAACTTATGTCGACTCATCATCTTACGAATGAAATATTTTTCTAAAGCATGCGGCAGCTGAATAAATTGGAACCAGCTCGTTTAATCGCTACAGAACTGATGAATTACCAATGGCCACTCGACCAGCTTGAACCACCGATGCCTTTTCACATCATCGGCACCCTGTCTCATGTTCCCCAGCCTTTTGGTCCTATCCGCGACCAGAAGCTTCTTGATAAGGTCCTTGGCAATCGGATCCATGTGCTTCGGCCACTCTATCCTGCCGCTCAATATCTTCTCGTAGATGCCAAATGGATTGTCATCGAAAAATGGCGGGAACCCAGCCAACATCTCGTAGATGAGGACCCCGAGTGCCCACCAATCCACAGCCTTGTTGTGTCCTTTGCTCTGGATGATCTCCGGCGCCAAATACTCGGGCGTCCCGCACAGCGTCCACGTTCTGCAAAGACGACAATTCATGAGAACAATTATCATCATTCCCATCATAATGAGACAGGATACTTGCTTATCTTTCACGGTTATCGGCACTCCCTCCGTGCAATTAAATACTCGCGGAGCGACTAACGATGGAACGATACGTCCGAACGCGACATTTCGAGGAGATACGATCGACGATACGTCCTCAGCATTATTATTTCAAGAATGAACGTGTGGCTATCTGCATAGCGTACATTCCGCCTCGAATGTCAAGGCGAACGGTACCGGGTTAAAGAAAATATTGTTTCGCTACGGCACCGTTATTGTCTCGTCGTGTCGCAATAATGCCAACAATGGTAATTTCACCGTGTAGCTGGCGAACGGTAGATAACGGTTCGGTCTTATTATTAAGACGAAGGTGATTCGTTCTACCTGTCGGTGAGCTTCTTCGAGAAGCCGAAGTCGGTGATTTTTAGGTGGCCTTGGCTGTCCAGGAGGAGGTTCTCGGGCTTCAGATCCCGATAAACGATGTGCTTGCTGTGAAGGTATTCCAAGGCGCAGACGATCTCGGCCGCGTAGAAACAGCTGGTGGGTCCAGAAAATCTGCCGGCTGCCCTCAGGTAGGAGAAAAGTTCGCCGCCGGCCACGAATTCCAGCAGCATGTACACTCTCGCCTCGTCCCTTCCGCTCCACAACCTGAAAACCGATCGAACGCTCGCAAGAAGTCGTTCATGGATCGCGAACACCGCGCGCGCACAGACGATTTTTCCGATAGAATCGGTCCGAAACGAAACGATCATCGCCCCGAGACGCGATTTCTTCCCGAAGTGCCGGCGCGATGGGAAACCGTCGACGTCGACGGTTTCTCCACGACCCAACGGCTGCTAATTGGACGGTAAATGACGCAAATCGTTCGCAGGAGATCAGCGGGTATCACTCTCGTCGTTTTTAGTTACGCTTTCTTTTCCACAATTTCTTCGGTTCGACCGAGAAACGCGCCACTTTCTTAATTAGGCGTGCGTAGAACCGATACGTTTCCTCGCTGGTCGCGGGGAAATCTCAACGATTTATTGTCAAGGAATGATTTTCCGCGGAATCGTCGGAGAAAGGAGGATAAAAGGGGGCACGTACATGTTCACGATGAAGGGATGATTTACTTCTTTCAGTACTGTGATCTCGTTTCGGACGTGCTCCACTTGTTTCAGCCTGATCACGTCCACCATCGAGAGGATCTTCAGGGCTAACGGGGTGCCTTGGTGCCTGCACAGGACCACTCTGCCGAAAGTACCGGTCCCTGAAAGGTGCCACGTTATTCATTTCACTACACCGAACGGAAACAATTCGAACGATCAGCCATCGTGGTTAGATTTCTTCCAATTACGCATCCAATCTTTATCACATATTTTTGATCCTACTACTTTTTCATGGTCATTGCTGATCTTCTTATCGAACCGAATATAAAGTTCGTATTATAAATAGCTAATAATTAATACATTAGCTATAACATTTTCAAGGTTATTAATAGACGGCAGATTTTTATGTAAAATAAAGATTCTACGCACTAATTATACGATACTGGAGCTGTATTGATACTGATTTCGTTCTTTATTAATTATGATCGATTGAAAATGATGCGTTAGTAGTTTTAAATTCCGTAAGCGTCTTCATTCTTACAGATCCACAGTCCACTTATGAATGCCAATCAGGACTGCATATCTTGCCACGCGAGGCGACATTAGTAATTGGTTCAGTAGCTGACAACACATTAGCAAAGTAGAACTAATTAACCTTCCGCATGATAAACGACGCGATGCTGCAATTTATGCAGTCGTTATTTTCCAGGTTTCGAAGTCACAAAAGTGTTCAATTTATCAAGAGTGTATCATATTTACATGGCATCGGTGTTCGACGCATTCGTTTAACACTTAAGCGACTGAAAGCGTTTTAAACGTTAAGCGATGCGTTAGCAAGCTATCAATATAGCACATCAAACGTTAGAAAATACTAAAGCAAATGTATTCGGCACGGTAATACCGTCTGAACGTAGTCGCTTTTACGGCATTTCTCTTTCGCGGATAAACAAAAATATTGGAAAAAAACGACAACAATCCTCGACCAAGCTGAACTCTTCTTTCCCCGGTGATTGAACGAAACGTCGGAACCTTCTCCCCTAAGCAGAGCTTATCATCGAATAAATAGACTGCATCGCGTCTAATTAACTCGATCGAGATCCAAGGCTTCCGATCACGCAACGATCGTCTCCTCGGCGAGTCAAGTGCAAATTGTTCCGGCGTGACGCGTCCGCGAGGAAAGGGGATACACGCGTATCGCAGATCGCTCGGCGCGATCTTTAATTATCGCCGCTCTCTCCGCCGGCGCGATCTCTGCCTGCTCTGTTTAATGCACTTTTCCCACGAACGCAGGTGACTCGGGGGGCCCGCCGGTCCCTGCTCGCCGTACCGCGACCAATTAAGGGGGCCCGCGGGTCCGCGTTCGGCGCCGCGCCGCGCCGCCCGAATTAACCGGCAAATTGCTCCGGTTGCGACGCGTTTAATCAGGAACGCGACACGTCGTCGTGAGCGACGGTCTCTGTCGCTCACAGTGCCGGCATTATGATTCCCGGTAGAAATTGGCAGCGGCCGAATCGGGAGGGAAATCGCGCGCGTCAGCGCCGCTCGACGCTTCCCAGACGATCGTGGAACAGGTGTCAATGATAAAACCGAGCAGGGCCCGTTTCCGGGCTGAAACTGTTTTAAAACCGTTCCGCTGGTCGGCCGAAATTTGCGTAATTGTTGCAACCGACTTCGTTTACGAGCCCCTCAAGGTCCCAGAGACGTCGTCGCTGCTATGGGAGCAACGATTTCTCCCCTGTTAACGGTACCATTATCGTTAAACTGTCACGACGCGACCATTCTTTCGAAACGCTGCGGGGAAACAGTAATTACAAGGCATTCTACGACGACTTTTTAATTGGGCGTAATTGGCGGACTGTCAACGACGATCTTTGACGGATCAAGATCAGCTGGTCGCCCTACACTTCGACACGTTTCTCACGGAATTCGGAATGAATGCACTCCGGATTAATTGCAATGGTCGTGAACGATCTTACCTTAGTCTTGTGAACAATGTTTTCGTTACTGTAATGCCTAATAACTGAGAATACGGTAAATTCTTCCTAATTGACCCTCGGTTTGGAAACAAAAATCGATAATTTGGGAAGAGAAGGTACGATTATTCGAGCTTTGCGGCTCGTTCTTCTAGCTGTTGACAATCGGTAACTATAAAAACGAGCCTCAAGGCTCGATCGATCGTATATTCTCTACCCAAATTGTCCATTTTTGTGTACAAGTTAAGGACCAATTAGGGACAATCTAAAATTCTCGATTATTAAGCATTGCATTAACGAAATTTACTGTATTAAGTTTTTATGACCACGGTCTCGAAGTGTTTACACAACTGCATTTCGGTCAATTTTTGCAGAGCTTTTGGACGCGTTCCAGCGTCACATTTCGTTGCGTGACGAAACAACGTATTAAGGAAAGAACTTGGCATTAATTTGATCGGCGAGTCGCCGAGGAAAGAATTAAGTCGGAGAAGATTATTAAGACGTTCATCCGATACAGGCAGTTCATTCATCCCTTCTTTGCTCGAATTTCGTGCACGCAGGCCAGACGCTTCCGAGTTTTTCTCCACGCTCGGACACACGAGAGGATTTTGGTGAGCGTCCAAGACTTGTTTTACGTCTCGCGGAGCGCTGGCAGCACATCTGTCCTGATCGATCTCCGCTACCGTGCTGTTTTACGATCGGAATCAAGCTAAGCGCGATCGTCGTAAACGAAACGATAAAGGACCGATGTTCGCCGGCGAGAGATTTATTTTGCCATCGCTCGTGAGCGCCGATTATACGCCGATTAACGGGAGCTTGGATCGTGTCGGAGCTCGCGCGGAAATCGGGACGTTCCCGAAAACATCGTAGAGACCCGTTAATAACTCTTCTGGTTCGTCGTGTTTCTTTTTCTCTTTCGCTGTTCGACGAGCGACGTCGAACCGCGCGGCGGTGCTCGCGGCGTCAACGTTTGCATTCCCATTGGTGCCGGTCATATAAATAATTATTTCGCAAGAGGCCTTGGAATGTTTGAAAAACCACCAACGGAACACCTGCAGTTTACTGATCGAGAGTCTCGTGTAACTCTGACTTAACGAGCAGTTAAATATACACTCGGTGGCCTCTCACTCTCCAGTGGCCCACTTCCCCGCTTCGAGGGTAGTTCGCCTCTCGGCTCGTCTCTCTGACATTTTCCTCGGGCGAGGAGATCACGCCGTGGGAAACGTTAATTCCACCGAATTAACGTCTTCTCTCTGGCACGATCGAGAAGCTCCTCCAACTTTTGACCAGTTCGCAATTCGTACACGTCCGATCAATTTTATTATCGGCGATCGTGCATTGAATCCAACTTTCGTTCTCAGCAAACGTTAACGTCTGTGCCAGATTTTCCGATTTTCAATCAATTATTTCACCGCAGCCACTTCTGAGCTTAATAAATTCTCTCCATAAAACACAATTACGGCAGGTCGCTTTAATTTTCGGAGGCTAAACGTGCTTAATTTAGCGATCGGATGTCTAAATTCGGATTCAAAGAAAAACATTGACTCGTTCATGCTTGGGGGATATTTTTAACCAGATTTTTAAATGTTCTATTGGATTTATAATTTATTGGTAGCCAGTTTAGATTATTAATCTAATAAACAGTAAAAGAAGTGATCTGAAAGAAGTGGGTTCAAAAATAGGTGAAGAGAAATTGATACGTAACGATTTGAATAGATCAAATCGTGGCTATCGTGAAATCGTCGAAAGCATTGTAAGGATCAATATTCATACCGTGTTTATTTTTAGCCAGATTTTTAAATGTACCATTGAAATTATAATATTTTGGTAGCCGGTTTAAATTATTAATCTAATAAACAGTAAAAGAAGTGATCTGAAAGAAGTGGGTTCAAAAATAGGTGAAGAGAAATTGATACGTAACGATTTGAATAGATCAAATCGTGGCTATCGTGAAATCGTCGAAAGCATTGTAAGGATCAATATTCATACCGTGTTTATTTTTAGCCAGATTTTTAAATGTACCATTGAAATTATAATATTTTGGTAGCCGGTTTAAATTATTAATCTAATAAACAGTAAAAGAAGTGATCTGAAAGAAGTGGGTTCAAAAATAGGTGAAAAGAAATTGATACGTAACGATTTGAATAGATCAAATCGTGGCTATCGTGAAATCGTCGAAGGCATTGTAAGGATCAATATTTAAGTCCATAAGAGCTCATAAAGGATGTTTATGTTCGTAATATTGTTACATGAGCACAATGAAAGGGACAACGATAATATACGCTTGTATTCCCTTTCAAGGTTTGTACCAGTTAATTCGCTCAATTCGAAAACAATTTCTAAGGCAATTACACCCGTGCAGCCTGTACTCCGCAGCGGACTGTCTAATTAACTTTTCCTTTAAAATCATCGCGACCCATATACGCGTCGCTTGTCAATGCGCCCATCCTCCGACGTGAAAGTCTCTGAATAATCGTAATCCTGAGCGAAATTTAATCGACTGCTGTTTATAATGAACCTTCCTACTTGGGGCTCGTCGATCACACCGATCTCCGCGGTAAAACCAATCGAGATAAGGAAAATAAATATTCCCGATGCTCTGATCGCGAAGCTACATGACACAGCCTAAAGACAAATACTACAGTGATCACGACGTGTTATCCTAACTATTCTTGATAGTGCCGCAAATTGAACTGTGATTATCTCTTGTATGGATAATCAAATCGCATGAACAGTTCTCAAGCTTCGATCTTTGACTCCTTGACTCATATTGCAATATTGAGTCAAACATACGAGGAAGATTTCGAACAGTACCTAATAAATATTAGCATTAATAGTTTTTTTGAAATTTGAATAAAATCTTATAACACTTTAAACATTGCTACGACGTAGGCATAGAATAAATATAAATTGTACCTTGCTTGTAGGTAATCATTAATAATTACAAAGTTCGAATCATCATAGTTATGACAGAAAACATGATAGGTAAGACGTTCGGATTTCTTACCAATACTGAAAATGCAAATAGACATCGAAGTGACATTTTCAGAAGAACGTGAGAAATTCTCGAGTAGCTGGGCACCCAGCTGTCTAGAGCAGCGTTATCCACGAAGAATACTAAGAAGACCGCACGATGGTTAATGTATGCAGTGAATACAGTGTCTAGAGGCAAACAATAAATACAAAAGTCACCCTTCTTCCCGCAAAATCGGTAACGACGATAAAACTTCCGATCAACCGCAGTCAAGGTTTTAAGACTTCTTGTTTGTTATGAAAATATAAATCGATGCGATAGAGCGGAGCTCCGTTTATACGAGCTCCATTTATTGACTCTATTAAATAAATTCTAGCAGTGTCTGGTTGACTGAACTCTATCCCGAACCGAATTATACGAACGTGGTCTCCTCTATTAAACGAACTAAAAATCATAGTCAACGATGGGAGCACAGGTGTCCAATTAAAGAACCACCTGGCGAACCAACTTGCCTCTCGATCGGTTAACACAAACGCAGTTCCGATGTTAAAAAAATGGATACCGAAAGAGACTCCGTGACATTTCGAGGAGAAGATGAACGGTCGTCGCAGAGAACATGGTGGTTAGTTAGCCAGCTGTCTACACAAGGGTTATGCACGAAGAACGGCAAGCTTATTGGTCGAAAACGGCTAAAGACCGTACAAGGGTAAACACGCGTGCAGCGAATAGAAAGTCGGGTCATCGAACATGGAGAATCGGCGGTAATCGGCAGGTGGAGGGTGCTCACCTATGGTCTTGATGATCTCGAGATCGTCGACGTCGTACCGCGTCGAGTCCTCCTGCGATCCCTCCTCGTCGGACGTGGTGTCTCCCGACATAGTTTACGAAGAGCACTGGCGAAGAGCGGAGCGGACAGCCGCGGGCGCGCGCGCGGAGAAAGTTTCTGATTTATTTCCCTCGGCCCGCCGAGACACGTGGAAAGAAAGGAAGGCCCCGGTTCAACGATCCACTCGCGGCTGTATTCTTAGCCCGTGTACCGGCGGGACGACCTCATATCTGGCTGCTCGCGACCTTTCCGACGCGTACCGTGTGCTTCCTCTGGTTGGTCCGCAGGCGGACCCGGTTCCCGAGCCGAGCCCGCGCCAAGATAGAACCGGAAATGGCCGCGAAAACCCCGGTGACCCGGTCCGCCGTCGAACTGGAACACTCTCTTCGGCTCTTCCGGGGTGCGGCGAGGCTAACTACGCGATGTGGCAACGACAGCACGTTCGTCGTGCACCGCCGCGCTGTCGACGACCCTCCTGTTCACCGACCGGCGGAAACGTGTGCGCGGTTTTCACAAGTGTCATTCGATGCGTGGAACCGGGAACGATGCAGGCGGCAGGCTTTCCTGCTTTCCACGACGAACAACGTGCCCGGTATTCGAGCCGTTGTTTGTTGATCTAGATCGGAGCGCACGTGCTGCGCCGTGTAACGTGTCTTCGGACCGGCGATTATGCAGCATCGCAGCCGGTCATCCTCGATGCAGATCGCGGAATAAGGAGACCGCCGTGTATCCTGCCTTTTAAGGCGCACTACGCGTTTCCTGGCCAGCTGCTGCCTCTGGCAGATACGCCGGGAGGATCTCTCGATCGGTCGATCGACACTGTCGCGACGACTACCGACGCCGGAGGATCGCAGGAGACTCGTCTCGATCGCGCCGGTTCGGGTGTCCTGGATCTGCGATGATCCTGAGTGTCCTCTGTCACATGATCTCTCGTCCGGTTGGGTTCGAATGCCAAGCAGAACTAAACTGGTCACCGAGGGGTCTCAAAAGGCTGTCTATCCTTCTCTCGTCCCCTCCTCTCTTTCCCTTGACCCCTCCATCCCTTTTCACCGCGGTTTCACTCCCACCTAACGCTGTCTCTCGCGCTCTCCTTCTATCTCTCTCTTTCTCTCTCTTCCTCTATCCCGCTCTCGACTCTCTCGGATCCGCGTTTCACCGCGCCTCGCTTCCTCGCGAGACCGAGGAGAACTCTGACCGAGCGTGTAACTCGAGGTCCCGAGCTCCGAGCGACCGGGAGTGTGATTTATAGCGCGGCGATCGCGGAAGATTCGCGCGTAGCTCGCTGATTTAAAAATACGGGGAACCGTCGACGGCGACGTCGCCGGGCGTCGGTAACCCGTCAGACAACCGAGCGAAGGCTGCTCGAGATTCGCCCTCGGCCCCGAATTCGATTTCGTGAATCAGCGACGCGATGACGCCGCCCGCAATTTTTACACCCGCTCGCGATGCTTGTGGGTGGATCGCTTTAACTCGATCGAGACGGGGGTCGCGAGATCGCTCCGTGGGAGAGACACACACACGTGGCCCTCGCCTGCCAACAACAGAAATAGTGATGATTCGCGGAACCCGCGGGAGGATTAGAACCCGACTCGTCTAATTCCCGTAGCGAGGAGAACCGAGTCAGCGGCCGGTCGCCGACGGGAGTCGCGAAGTGGTCGAGGATCATCGGCGGATCCGTCGAAATTCAGAGTATTTTTGAATCTGGCCCCCGTCCAGATGCATTTCCCTGTCGACGAACGACGACGACGTGATGGGCACACCTATCGGACACCGGCTCCAGCCTCCTGATCTTTCTGCTCCCTAGACCTTTCGTTCGGACCATTCATTCCTGATAGAAATCACTATTGCACTCGCGCACATTCTCTCATTTGGTCGTCTGTTTCATTTCTGTGAAGACTGCCGATGCCCAGCCACCTTGGTATCCTCGTTTGTACGGGATATTTCAATTTGTCAACGACAACGGCGTTAATGTAGACATATTTGTAGTCAATGTTACTAAATTTAAGACATAGAAATATAGTAATACATGTTTTTGTTCCTGTTATTGTGAAAATTGGCGTTTACTCGTATGTATAAACAAATTAAATTAAATTGAATTGAATTGTATTGGATTGGTTTGGATTTAATTGAATTGAACTAAATTGAATTGTATTAAATTGAATTGAATTGAATTATATTTGTTATTACACTGTAGATCTTTATGTAAACTGAACTTGTGGTTTTCATAAACCACTTTATTCAATTAGATCCAATCTTGTCATTATCACAAAGGTGGATAGCGAATCTTTATGCAAAATAGAAATTGTAAAAGTCGACTAAATATGTATTCCCTTCGATAAAAAAATTTAGTAAGCTGAAAATAACGTAGTAGTATTATTAACATCTCCAACTGTTTTCATTGTTCCCGATTGCACTTGTCCATTTCTCTCATAAATGCATCAAATCCGCCATCTATTAATAACTTTAACAAGCCAGACACGATGTAGTAGTATCCGTGAGTCGGTGTCTGTTCATCAGTCATCGAAATTTCTGGTTGAAAATATAGGCGGGCATAGTTTAGAATCTATATTAAATATTCTGAGAAATAGAAATTCCCGCAGAGTCACTTAATAATGTCAATTCTATGCTAGACGAGCAAAAGAATAAAAATGATAGTTATACCGTTTAGTAACTGTTGAATATGTACTATTTTCCTGCACGCTTCATAAATTCCATTAAGTAAAACCATATTAAAAATAAATCCGTTGAAATGAACGATTGAAAAAAACAAAACAACAGGATGTCGATCGTTTCATCTGGATACGAATCGAACGATCAGTGTTAACGTTATCCCGTGGGGCTTTAATACGTGTCCGGCACGCACGATATCTCTAATTCTTCCTTTTCAGCGTCGATTTAAATGGTCGGGGTCGTCATCTCCTCGATCTTGGACCGTGTCGGGGAACCTTGATGCTGGACCCGGGATCTTGTATTTCGCTTTGCGAATATCGTGCAACAGCTATAAATAACGATGATGCTCGTACTTTAATATTTACGTTTCTAATAATAATGGCACCAGCGCGCGGACCGTATTATCGGCAGCCCGCGGGATATCGCGATCGCCGCTCGTCAATCCGTTCTGTTTCCGCAATTATTATTTCGATTAGATCGTGTGGCTCGTCCGCGAGACAAACGGCTCGATCGACGTAATCGACGTCGACGGTATTATTGTGTACAGGGGACGTCGTTTCGACTCGGTCTCGTCTTCGCAGCGGTCGGTCATTAGCAGCCAAAATGAAAATAATAGCTTCCGGCAGGCCGTTTCGTACACACACGACCGTTGCCAAGATCGAAACTCGAAGTTACGCAGGCACAACTGGACGCGGTTCCTGAAATTTTGGCTGTTTTCTTTGAGATCGGGCCGCCTATAGTTTCGAGTAGGTCACGAATCGTTGCGATTCTGATAAACAATTCGCGATGCTGACAATTCTACGTAACGGTTTCAAGGAACGCTCGAACGAACGTCGTAGTTCGTATAAAAGTATGAAATGCGCTAGCATTGCGAATACTCGACTATGCTATATGTATATGTTTATTAGAAACTAATCGGCATTGGCCAGAAATGAAACGAACTTTTGGGACGGCTTGCTATAAAATTGTGAAAGAACGCGCTAAGTGCTGAAATTCGAACCGAATAGTGTTCACTAAATCGGAGCAATTCGACCGGAATGTTAAAATTTATCATGATGAATTTTGACTCTTATGGATGTGTTGCGTGAAATGTGAACGACATGTTGCAAGAAATATGAATTTACGAATCTAGTAAAAAAATTCGTGTTATCCGTGCGCGACATCGACGGGAAGCCGACCAAGGGAGAATAACCTTGACGAAGTTCCAATGAAAAATCTTCGGTCCGAAGATCGCGCGACATAATGTTATCCGATTTGGTCGCGAGAAAGTCGCAATTTCTCGGAGCGTTCCACTTTTTGCGCCTGAAAATAGTCGCTTCGTCCCGGCTAGCCTTTATTTCCGCAGCGGATGCTACCGCGAACTCGTAATTCGTCATAAAGTTAATCGGCGGGAAGAGACAGCGACGTAGCATGGCTAATGAGACGGTCGTAACGGCTCGAATAAATAAAGATCTACATTACACGGCTTGGTCGCCCGTGCCGCTCGATCCTTTTCTACTGTCCGATCTCCCCGCTGGCTGCTCGATCCTTTTCCACGACCCGATCTTTACCGCCGCGGCGGGACGAAGCGGTTGCAGCCATATTTCAGCCGGACCGATTCAGCGATATCTTTTTTCGCTACGCGCCAGACGCGTCCGACACTCGTAATACCCTGTCCACTCGGAAGTCGTTGATATATTTACCGAGGCGGCCTCCGATTTCGCTCGGTACGTCAATATTTATCCGCTTCGAGATTAACTCTAGAAAGAGCCTGGGTGGGGGCACGCGTCTCGAGACCACAGGCACCGGCTTGAAAATGTTAAAACTCTAAATATTACATGTATCTCTCCCTCGCGCGTGGAGCCCGCCTCGAAAAAAATTGTTTATCGCCGTTTGTTCGGTATTGGCGTTGAAGAATCGCTCTCGGTTCTCTAGAGATGTTTTACGCGAAGAAACCACCGAAAATAGATCGTTACGCGCACAGTTCATTTTTCTTCGTTCATTGCGGTACCGTTTCTTTCGCGGCTGCAACGCCCGGAGGCTATTTATTTAAAAAGTAGAAATTCATGTTCATTGAATCTAATGACAGACGGGTATTATTTTATTCCGACTCGTAACGAGTCTGTTCTGCGAAGCGGGAGACGTAACGCATTGCTGCTGACCACAATCGTTTGAGATTAATGATTGAGACGGAACAGTAAAAGCGTCTAGGAACTGCACCGTTATAGTTTCAAGTTCTCAGAATCGGTGGATAATATTCTGCTCGACGACCGTTGGTGATCGTTTAGATTCTATTGATCCAAGCTCGAGGGTGGAAAGCATGATAGAAAAAATTTTCTTACAATCTTGCTTCACCAAAGACAGATAAGAGCATCTTTCTTCAATAAAATCAGCCAGCAACGTTGCCAGAAGTTGGCAGGAAATTCCTCTTAAAAATTTCAAATCTCTATTAGATTGTGTTCGACCTTCGAGTGCTTGAAATTGCATCGATCCTGACCGAGTAAAACCGAGCAAATCGCATATCGAATGTTTTCTAATATCTCTTTAGAATCTCAATAGAACAATCGACGCTGCAATCGAAACAAGGTCAGCGCAACAGAGACTCGGCGGAGTCTTCTCCGGCCCCGAAGAAGCGAGATTGTCGCGTAATTTGTGCAAAATGGCCGTGGTCTCTTGTCTCCAGGCCGAGAGGAGTAATACGGTAGCGGGACGAATAATACCCCGCTGTCTCGGCATTGACACTGACGGAAGAGCGTACAATTTGCCCTCGCAGAAACACGGCTCGGCCGTCAAGGACGGTCCGTCGAGGAAGCTGCAAGTTCGAATGACGTCCGTGGTCGCCCACGGCTTCTGGATGCGTATCAAGCGCACGGTTTCAACGCCGGACGCGCGTTTCGGGAGACCCTCGCGTCTCTGGACGATTGTTATTTTCAGACGAGCGATCTCTATGCGAGAGCGCGCGATTTCCTAATCCGTGGATCGCTGTTTGGGATCGTTTGTGCCGGTGAAAGGCCACGCAAATGACTCGTTAACACGCCGCGCGTGACAAAATGCTCGCCGCGAAAGGAACGTTCGCTCTGTCTTCCTTCTAAGCGGATAAAAGGGTGAAGGATTCATCTGCCTTTCCCCATTGTTATGGTACAGACGCGACGCGTTACTCACCTGACCAGAAAGATAGCTCTCGTGATTCATAAAACTCCCGACTATCCTGCAGGCATGGGCGGTGCCCTGTGCGTGTGGGTCGCACACGTGCTCGGAAGCGGATAGGCGCAAACAGTCGATGAATAGTTAATTTCGATCGTTGCTGGCTGATATCGTTTCGCGATTAAACGCCGCGCATTCGATTTTCCCATTGCCGTTGGACAGGCCGTTCACAATCCCATGCAATATTTATGATACCGCTGATAGACCGATCCAGAGAACCGCTAGTTCACGGAATACCACATCTCGCGTTTCACGGCGTCCTTTCATACTTTGTTCCCCGAAGCAGCGATCGAAATTCAAATTCTGTTGCGACTTGTACGCTTCGCTCGAACCCGTGTAACACGTCTATCCAATTTGTATGTATGGGAACTATTTTAAAAAACTGTTCTCGCGGCACAGACGATGCTTTCGAGTCCGTGTGACAAAAGTTCTTCGCAAAGAAGTGATTTTAGAACGTTGAAGAAAAACGCAACGCAAAAGCATCGCGCCTTGAACTGTCTACGGCAAATAGTATAACGTTACGCCACATTGCGAATTGCCCTATCTGTTCTCGCCGGAGTACGCAGCATGAGAACGTTTTTTTTTTCTTAAAAAAGTTCCAGGTCTTGAACAGAACTTATTAAAAAGTTCCACGACGATCCCGTGGTTCGAGCGGATCTCGCGGGAACGCGATTGCCGAGCAAGTCACCAGCCTTGTCATTTGCGGGTCGCGGTTTGCACGCAACGGAAAAATGCACGTTTAGGTGCGTGCCGCGGCTCGGTTCCCATGGAACGCGATATTTCCAAGTTTCCGAGCGGTCCCACGGCGACTTCCAGTTCCCCGGTGTGTGGTTCGCTTCCGGTACGACGACATTTTCCGCCGCGGAGGATAATGCTGGTCGCCAACCGAGACTGTAAAAAGAAAAATAATCGGCGTTCACTATCGACCGTAAAGCCGGCTCAGGAGAGAGAACAGAACAGTTATGTTCCCGTGGTTACGTACCTAGGCGACCGCCGCGGGAAGCCTTCTCCATCGGCGTAATTTTCGCTTGTTTCCTTCGGTTTATCCGTGTTCGGCCAATTACGCTGGCCGCAACAATGGAGGATAGCGTATCCTGCGAAAAAAAGCACGGTGGAATGTAACGGACACCCGAAACAGACGCTCGCTCCTCGGGCCGGCCTTGATCCTTTTACACGTGAAATATGGCGCAGGTGTTTACCTGGACGGTCAGGATGCAGCCAGGCCTGTCCGTCCGTCGTGCGCAAGCCAACTTGAAACCGGAAGCGTCGCTTTCTGCCCTGCTGGCCACGAACAATGAGATCGAGAGATTCCTGGGAGGACGCGAGCACGATCAAACGGTGAGGTGCTTTATCGACACCGAGGATCGAAAATATTATTTACCCGGGGGTCAAAGATCCGTCCGTGGAAGTCCCCCGATTCTGTTTCTTTCCTATTTGCTCCACGACGTCGTTCGAATCCGGCTAGATAAACGTTAGGGACAACTGTATACCGTATAAACGCCAGTTCGCGTCTCTCGGTGATTAAGTATAGAATGGAAAAAAAACACGATGTCCATTGAAAAATAGTTGCTGGACTAACGCCAGTGTGACGCGGATAACATGGACGCCATCTTGATCGCTCCTACACGAACGCGAGTGTTAAACAATTTCGTATTCTTAGCTCCTTTGTACGCTTTATTCGCAGACATGGAACACTTACAATGGCAACTGCGAAATTTTCGTATCAGCTGGCTAATAATTTCTGCATTCGATGCCTCGGGTTCGCAATAAGATACCATCGAATGCGTTTCGATGCACAGAATCCATTGTTCTCGAAGAATTCATAGAGAGAATACGGTAATTTTTCTCCCTAATTCGCGCTCAGATTGCGCACAAAAGTGGACAATTTTGGAAAAGGAGATACGATTATTCGTGTCTCGCGGCTCGTTTTTATAACTACCGATTGTCGACAATTATAAAAACGAGACGCAGGGCTCGAATAATCGTATCTCCTCTTCCCAAACTGTCCATTTTTGTGCGCAATCCGAGCGCGAATTAGGGAGAATGTATTCTCAAATTCTTCGAAGGCTGCTTCTACGCGAATCTAAAATATCTGTATCTCACCGTTGCCATAGTTTCAAATGGCAGCTACTCTTTTATCTTGAACGCGTAAAGTCAGTTTAGCAACGGCCGAAAACTCACGGCGGGGCAGGTGGCTGGACTCGCCAGCATATTACCGTATCAATTATTTCAAGGGGAGATACGGTGACATAGACGTTTCATGTTCAACCATGCCCTCGCCTGCATCGGCTAGATAAGCAACCCCAAGTTCAAGTTAGAAAATCAATGGGAATAGGCGATGGCTGATTTATTGGCCGCCCGCTTACTCGCCGCTAACGGAAATGCCGCGATCATGTTCCTCCAGTCACGATATGGAGAAACAAGTTTTATTAGAAGCGTCGTTCCACGCGTTACCCCCATGGCTGGATGCGTGCGCGTATGTAAATTAGAGAGCGGCGTGGTATATTGTTTAATGCCTTCGGCGGGCCGGCAACGATACATTGACACCGACATTTCCGGCCGTTCATGCTTGACCACGCGATCGATACAGCGCTGCCGGGACACAATCGAGAAAATCTTTTCACGGCCACTGTCGTCACGTGGTCCGTGCACGGACAGCAACAGGTGTGATGCAACAGGTAATCAAACGTCGGGCATTATCATGTGCCGACGGTATTTTGCGACTACGCCGTCCGACACGCCGCGATCCACTAAAAATATGTCCAACATTTATAGCCAGAACCAGTAGAAGTATTAACACTAAATCTACCGAGCTCTAAACGCGTTACGAACGACCAGATTACATTTGCTCAGATTTTTCACTCCTTTCATTACAATGCAAGCTTGAACGAAGGGATTTGTTCAATCAATTCTCGAGGATGAGATTTCGTAATTTCAACAATTTGGAAATAACGAATGTGTGATCGGTCATTTTTGCCCGGCATGGTAGGTTTAGCGTTAAAATATATAGGAAAACCTCGATTATCGGAGAGTGACATGAATGTTCGGATAATAGAGCCGTTACATAGTTACGTCGGGCTTAATCTTCATTGATTCATATACTAAATCGTTTTGCATAGCAGTTGTTTCGTATCAAATTGATTAAACGTGAAACAAATGTGGATAATTCTGAGATTGGAAGATAGTCGTGGTTCTACTTTATTAGCATAACGATTGGACTGCAGAGTATTGTGCAGAATAAAGGCTTCTTGCGTCAATTGTAAAAAGCAAGAGCTGTTATATTATAGACATTATATTATTAACATTATCCAGTAAAATATGAATTTCATACATAATGATCCAATATTTTTGAATGCTTTCAATCAATTGCAATAAAACAGTATTTTCAATGGTTTATAATGTTTTTGCAGTAGTTCTACACGATTTCAGCGTAAATGCATAAACTCTGCAGTCGGATCATGATCTCCAGGATCAATCATCTTCCATAAATCTGCAATACCGTAGAAAACTTACGTCTTATGTCCAAATTATTAATTTCTAATCCACTAAATTCAATGTCAGACTGAAGACACAAATTCCCCAAAAATCCACGATCGCAAAGGATGCATCGGCCACAATGACATTCCAGGTTGCAATAACTACCGTTACACCGAGTTCCACCAGGATCGTGTCAAGGGTTCTGAGTTTACGGTCAAAGGAACCCAGCCATCACCTGTCCGAGACAATTGCATGCATCCTCCCTAATCTGCACGAGCCTAAGCTCGCGTTAATGGTGTGACACGCGGGAACAGGCCGTAAACGGATTACCCGGCGTTTTCCGAGTTTCCGGGGGTTACAATGAAAGGAAGAATGCACTTACCTGGTCGCCGCGTGCGACAGGTGTTGCGTACCTACGTAGTTGCGTCGCGAATCGATCCGAGGGCCCGTCGCAGCCTTTTTCACCGACACTTTCTTCTCCAGGCTTCGTTTCCGGTTGGGTACGCGTCCTTCTCTCTCTCTCTCTCTCTCTCTCTCTCTCTTTCTCTCTATCACACTCTCCCTCTCTCTTTCTCTGTCTCTCTTCCCTTCGCTCTCTGCCTCTCCTCTTCTCGGACGGACATTTTGCTCGACAAATGCGGCAGGGCCGTTGTCCCTCATCCTCGCGGCTCCTGTGTGTATCCTCGGCGCGGGAAGGTCGTACTGTTGCCAGGCCGAGGGGACTTTGCCACGTGCACCGTTCGCATCGTTCGCGAGAAATCAACCGTGAACATAAACGTTATCGCGAAAAAGCTGCCGGGCTTTTTGCCCGGCCATCAAGCGCTTTTGCCACGCGGCGGCCCCGCTGATTCACCATTCCGTGTCATTCGCCGGAATGCGCCATGTTGGTCCCTGACAATGTCCTAACGATCCCCACTGTTCCCAGGTTACGCAGCTCGTTGCGCGATCGTTAAGTCATTCGCGGCCGGCCGCGGCTCGGTTTCGTTTCAGGGAAATCGCTGGCCAGAGGAGGTCTAATAAAACGGTTAATCGGCCGGACCGGACGTTATGCGTTCGCGCGGAACACGATAAAGACTTTGCGCGATGCGGTGCGAAGCTTGTGTTTTATGTTTGACTTGCTGGAACTCGTACCGGAGATAAATCGCGTTTCGTGCCGCGGGACCCCGCGAATTACGGAGGCGTGATACGCGGCTCTAATTGCGAAACCGGGAGAAATCGTTCCCGGGGGTTAGAGGCCGATTCGTAATTGTTGCCGCACAATGATTTTGTCGAACAGACGCGAATCAAGCACAGGCTTTTCTGTAATCGAAGCTGGATCTTTGAAAGAGTGTTTAACCCTTTCATATAGGCATTGGGAACCATGCTTCCCACCCAATTTTAGTGCGCATATGGACCACCACGCTCAGATATTCCCACAATTGAAAATTCTTATTGAATTGAAATATTCTTGGAAATTCATATTCACCTTGTCGTACTCTGACGAGTCTGACCCGTGACAGAGATTTTTAGTATCAGCCTATTAAGTTTGGATGTTAATCCGATCTTTTAAGTTGTAATCGAACTCTGTTCCCCCGTGTCATCGATATTGAAGACCTTGAGTATAAATGTAGGCACACGGTAAATATAAGTTTTCTTGCTTCTTCTGAGAAGTTATTAGAGTCGAAAAAGTTCTAATCATTGTAACCGCGAAAATAATGGCACGGCAAGAGATTAAAGGATCTGTTACGAAAGCGAAACAGTAATTTTTCTACGGTTTTCGAATGAAACCGTGATACGTCACCGGCAGAAGGTTAACACGTTCATTGTCTCCGTTTAAACGTTCACTTTTCTCAATTATCGTCACTTTCCCATTGTGTCATTGACTAATACTTTCCTATTTATCGTATCAGTTTCGCACAGTTTGCAACGAACGTTGCCCAACAGGTACCGACTGCGACTGCGGCGCATCATGCACGGGACAGTGGACGCGTTAATACACGTAGCCGGGGAATAATGAAAGATTCTAAGAGTTACAGAACAGTGGAGAACGAGATTGGCACAACATTCTATTTCTGAGAAGCGAGGTAAAAACGCGTCGGATTGACACGAGGAGCGAACGAGGGTCAAACAATGCTCTTCCCTCCTCGAACAGTAAATACCTGTGCGAATTACCTTTCACCGCAAGTGCTCCGAACACTCTCCGAGTTTACGTACGTGCAGAATCGGCTGAACGTTCGCGGGGCCCGGTGAATAGGACTTATGATTGCGGTTGATGCTCCGCCAGCGTGATTTCCGGAATCGGCAAGGGTTCTGCAACGGCGGATCGCGTCGATCACGCCAGCACCTCCGACCTTTGGGCGAGTGTTTCGTGTTTCTAGACCGACTGGCGGAGCCTCCGATCGGGTTCCCAGACCGATCCCAGATCCGCGAAACGATGGGTTCGATCGTGTTGCACGGCCGGACGCTGTGTATGACACGGGAGCTCCACGGGTCCGTCACTAAAGTCCCCCGTGAATTCTTCCAGTGCCATTTACAGAATCCAAGCCCGAATCGATCTGGATCGTTCGCAGGGCCCGATGCCAGCCAGCGTCCACGTTCGTCAGTGGAGTCAACGGCCGGTTATACAATGTCATAGTTAGCGCCCGGCCATCGGATCCGCGGACCGTGTCCAGCTATAAATCAGCCGGGCTGAAAAACCCGCGGCACTTCGCGAATACCTCTCGCGCGTATGCAAGAACCCGACGAAAAGAAGGAGATTCCTCGAGGATAATTCATGACTCGGGTATGTCGACGGTTTCTTCCCAGTTTCTTGCTGTTCCGTCACGGAACGACGATCCTTCCCGGAAGCCGCGGCCGCTGGATCTGCCACGATTTGCTCCCCGATCGTTCTCCACGGCTGTCCTTCGATTCCACCGATTTCCCACCGTTCCACCGGCCTTCTCTCTCTCCTTCTTTCTCTCTCTTCCTCTAGTTCTCTCCCTCCTCCGGCTCGGCACAGATTTTTCGATCCGCTTTGGACCATTCGGGAAACTCCCATTGGTCCGAATTGGACAGGCTCCCCCGCGTTTTCTCGAGTCGCAGCTCCTCATTTTCATCCAGGCTCTTTCCCCGCCGATTCTGCTCGCTCCACGAGCCGTAATCACGATTTCCCACGGTTGCGCCTCGGGCAGAGCCACCCGATAGCGCACTGTCATTGCGCTAAACAATCGATTACATCACGGTTCAGGGGTTCATTGAAAAACTCATTATTTCGCTCGATCCGTGTCGGCTTTTGTCCCATTTTTCTCGAAATTCTTCTCGTTCGTCTTCTATCCGCTTCGCTTCCCGGTTCGTTTACACGGCGAAAACGGAGGGAATTCGATCAGAAAACGGCTGGATGCCGATTTATTATAAAGGCGGAGA